AAAGTGCATTGGAACACTAAAAGGACACAGAGACATAAAAAGACTAGAAGGCTGCATAAGAAAATGAATTCATATAGAGAAAAATTAAGCATAAGGAGAGTAAAAAGAAACCAATGTATGAGGTAAAAAGACCAAAAGCACACAGATATATAACGTTTTTATAGGATTCAGAAGGAACCATAAAAAGACATGGAGACATATAAAGAGAAAAAGAAAAGGCAAGGAGACAAACGTAAGCAAAAAAGATGCATACGGATAGCAAAAGGATCCATACGGAGACATAAGAGGTGAGAATGAAAGATTTTTTAGGGATGAACGATATTGGAATGGACAGTGCTTTTTATATCAGTGAGTTATTTTGATGGAATGGCCAATATTTAACTTTATCGCTAATATTGTCCGATACCATGCCGATAATATCGTGCATCCCTAATTTTGTTATAAAATTAGTTTTTATTGAGCCGTGAGAGATGAAATGATTAATATGTATTGATTTTTTTTTTTTTACATTTTCTTATTGATATTTAGCATGAAGACATCACTGTCTCCATCTCAGTATTAATTGTTAATAATTATTAATCTATGCTATAAAACAGAAACCTTCTCATAGTTTCAATCTTCGTTCTTCTGGCAACATCCGTTTCTGCGGCTCCTGTTGAAGGTAAACATCTTGCCGGTATTTTATTTTTTTACTAATCTAATTTTGTTTGTTTATTTGTTTTTTGTTTGTTTGTTTAAATTTAATTCCCTGAGGACCTAAAATGTTTCTGTTGTTTTCCAGAAAAGGAGCAGGAGGAAATAGAAGCTGAGGTCACAGAAACTATGGAGGGGGAGGTGTCTGAGGAGGAGGAGGGTAGGCCTATGTGTGAGAAAGAGAGAAACCGGCTTTTATTTTGAAAGGACATCATCTTTTCAGCAAATCCAAAACAAATTTCCCTCAACAAACAACCAAAACTGATTCTATCCAAACTGAACAAAGCAGATCTTCTGAACTCAACACAAAATTCACTTTAAAATGTTTTGTTTTTCACTTTTTTTTTTTATTATTCAGTTTGAACAAAAAAAAATCACAAAATAAATGTCCGATGAACAAGTTAACATATTTTGTGTCAATTCGCCTGTTGTTTTCTGAAAATGATCAAAATATTAAACTATTAAACGTTATTTATGGATGACTTGCAGCCAAATTAACTAAATCTTTGTCATCAACTTAATGTTTATTTACAAATCCATAAACACTAATTAATTATTTAAACATTCATTATGAAGTTGGAATCAATACCTTTTGAAGTTTCAGAGAACAACTCATATTGTTCGCAAAGAAACATGTTTAAAGACTATTTTGGATATTAAATCATACAAAACTGATTTTAATCAAAGTTTCTCAATGTCTGAAGAAAGACTTTTTGTTTAAATTGACATTTCTTACTGATAGTATTCAATATTTTATTTTAGAAGCTATAATATTCATCAATAAGGTGTTAAAATTCTGTGATTCACGAAATAATTCATGACCAAATGGTGCTTCTTTTTTTTTTTTAAAAGAAGATTGAAACTTAAAGAGCGGTGCAGTGGTGTGTTTTTCAGTCTGCAGGGTATTTTATATTCAGAATCAGAATCAGCCTTTATTGTCATTGCACAGAAGCACAACAAAATTTAATTTCAGTACAGCCGTCCAGAGAAACAAAACGACAACCGAACAACATAAGACATGGGTAGACGGGTGCCTGAGGCTGCAGCCTCATGGGAGGCGCTGCCCTTTTCATTAGATAAGAAAAAGAGAAACACGAAGAAAGAGGAAGTAAAAAAAATCATATCTCACACGGTGTCCCTAACAGGAAACAAGGTGAGGTTGCAAAAAAACCTTCAGAACAAAAGAATAACGTACAGATGACATACTAACACATACACATGTGGAGTTTTTTTGTTGTTAAATTTTAATAATTATTTATTATTCTTAATATTTTAATAATTTTTTTTTGCACATTATTACCATTCGCTTGTCCGTGTTTAACTAAAACAAGATTTAAAGATAAAGAAAAAGGGGAAAAAACACAAAAACAAAGACATGAAGTTTGCTTTATACAAGCAAAACAGTGAAAAAAGGTCAAATGGACTAAACTAAAAATAAAATAAACAGCTGAATAATAAACATAAAAAAATGAATACTTCCCTTGCGTATTTAACATCTGACCAAATAAAAATGATAAACCTTCTTATAATTAGAGAAATAAATGTTGGATTTTTTTCCTTTTCAGATGATGATGATGATGACTCCAAGAGTCAGGATTTAATTATGGGTGAGAGGCTTAAACACACAATGACCTTCACCATATAAACATGCATAAACTGAACTTTAACATTAAAAATTAACTTTATTTTTTAATTAACGAGGTTATAAAAGGCGAGGCTCATGAATCTTTCACACGATGAGTTTAGTGGAACGAGTTTCACAAATGGCCCTTCTTCTTTTTTTCACTGAAACAACCATTTTTAACAACTTTACGTGGATAATTAAATTTATTCACATCAAACTGTTCCTCTGTTTTTAAAGAGTTTCCAGACAGAAAACATTTGATATGGATTTAATGTTTTTTAATATTTAATGCCATTTATCTTTATTTTAATGACATTGACATGTTTTTAATAAACTGATGTTTCTTTCTGCTGATGGAAACAGAAGGTTCATTCATGCTGAACACCTGATCCCCTGTCCTCCCCCTGTCCTCCCCCTGGCCTCCCCCGTCCTCCCCTTCTCTCTGCCCCCTGCAGTTCTTGGAGCTCAGCAGACCACCGTGTCGGCAGCAGCCGGAGGTTCAGGTGAGTCAGCCCTGATCAGATGTTTCCCTCCTGAAATGTTTGCCTGTTCCGGTTTGGGCTCATGTTTAATCCAGATTAACTGGCTGGTATTCTGACCAGGATTAGTCTGACTCGGTCCGGTCCACATCCTGAGCTCTCTGCCCAGTAACGCATCAAGTTCTTGCTCTCCTGTTGCAGCAGGAGGTGAGGGTTAGAGCTGCAACGACACCTGCCGAAAGTCATCTAAGTGCAGGGGAAATCCTCAAACTTTAGTTTTTATTCTGAAAAAATATCAGGTGCAACTGCAAAAGGTTCATTTTAATGAAATGTTAAAACAAGAATGAATTTGGAGTAAAACAATACGAAAAAAGTTGTTTAAAAAGATTTTTATTAAGCAAATGTCTTTTTTAACGAAGCTCCACCTGTTCCATGGAACAGCTTGTGTTTTGAAATGTATGAGCTTCGTTAAGGGAGAATATTGATTGTCAGAAACAAATACTGATTTTTTTTTATTATTATTAACTGAAAAACACATTAATGAGGTGTTAATAATAAAAAGCTTGATGATAATGTCAGCTAGGCATGTCAGGAAGGCAAACATCTCTTCAGTATTTCATATATATATATATATTTGTCTGACTCAGTTGAGTTTTCTTTGCAGGTGTTTCCTTAAATATCCACGACCTTAGTGGTGAGTTGACCTTTTATTTAAGACTTGATCATCTGTGCAGACATTTTTTAACAATGAATTGTTGCCTGATTGATCCACAGATCTAAAAATCTTTAGGTAATTGAACAAAATATGGTGTCGCTAGAGATAAATCAGCAACTTGCTTGAGTTTTCCATCCATCCATTTTCATCACCTGCTTCTCCTTTCTGAGTTGTGAGGATACGGTGCCACTGTTCGACACATCCTCTCAAAGACGAGACAAAATCTTGGTGGAACTTTTTTTTTTAACTCAAACTTTTTTACTTTAGAACAGACAGTTCCAAAACCAGCACCTAATCTCCATCTATTCCACCAGAGAATGAAATGATAAACCAATCAGTCAGATTTACTATAAAATGGATGATCATGTGCACGCTGATAAGATCCCAACAGATATGAGAAGGGTTTTAAGGATTTGACTGTTTTTCTTTATTAGTATTTCAGTTATTAATTGTTTCAAAAAAATTAAAACAAGGAAAATGCAACTTAAGTAGCAAAATAAATAAGATTTTAAGGGCAGGTATTTGTCTTCCATCCTGATGAAGATTATGTGATTCTTCTCAGCATCCAGTGGTCAGTCAGCAGAAGGAGGACCACATGATGCAGCTGCAGGAGGTTCTACAGGTGAACAAGTTCAGACAGGTAAAGAACCCAGTCAGAGAGACATCGTCATGGAGATGGTTTGGTGGATGGATTGTGCTTAGTTGATATTAAAGTAATATTAAATGGTTTTGGTGTCTGGTTGCTCTTTTTGGTGTTACAAAGTTTGACATTTTTGTTTTTTGTTACTTGGTGGTTGGTTGGTCAGGATTTAGTTTTACTAACAGTAATGAGTTCTTTTTGTTAATTTCACCTTCAGTTTTGTTGGTGTTTGATAGATGTTTAGTTCATGTTTAGTTCATGTTTAGTTCATGTTTAGTTCATGTTTGGTTTGGTTGATGATTTGGTTTATGATTTTGTGGATGCTTGATTTGGTTGACTGTTTGATAAATGTTTGGTTGGGTTTGGTTGATGGATTGGTGGCTGTGTAATTTGGTAGATGGTTTGGTGGATGATTGGTTTGGTTGATGGTTTTAGTGGATGTTTGGTTTGGTTTGGTTGATGGTTTAGTGGATGATTGGTTTGGTTGATGGTTTGGTTTGATTGATGGTTTGGTTTGGTTGATGGTTTGGTGGCTGTGTGGTTTGGTTGATGGTTTCTTGGTGTTTGGTTAGGTTTTGTTGGTGTTTGGCCTGTTGATGCTTGATTTGTGTTTTGTTTCCATTATGTTGGTGTTTAGAATGAATTATTTAACTGGTTACATTAGTATAATACAATAAAAATCAATATAGCTTTGTATTACTTTATGTGATGCTGATTTCTCTAATGTTACAACACTGCAACTCGTTATAATTTTCTCATTTTTATATAATAATAAATTATATTTCTACTTTTGTAGTTTTTATAACAGTTTACATTTCAAACGTTTCTTTTTATGTCTCAGGTCATGTAGATGGTGCGTCCTCTGTGGGCTTGGCAGGTGACTTTTACTTCCTGTTTCATCAGTCAGACATATTAACCGTTCAGTCACATGTTTAAAATCTGTACTTACTGTACCTGTAGCCACAAAGTTTGTGTCATAATTAGCAAATGTTTGTTTCAATATTGTTGTCATTAGCTGGATTCACTACTCCACATTCAGGTTACAAATACAAGCGTTCAGAATGTTATATTTAAAAATAAGTGTTAGTTGTTTCAAAGAGGGTTGGGTTCACTGCAGCAGCTCCACTGAGAAGACACCATCTAAGTTGTTATCCAACCATCCCAGTTCTATTTTTATTGACTACTCCTTCATAATAAGGTCCAGTTAATTACAGCTCAAACACTTAAAGATGCTAATTTAATGTTGTCACTGATTTTAGGCAAAAATAAAGAGGATATTTGTTTGTTTCTTTCTTGGTTTTAGTTTATATTTCTCATGACATCAAATTAAATTCTTCTTGATTTGTTTGTTTTTTCAACAGTTGGACATCCAAACAGCTCATTAGGTAAACTGTTCTGTTCATTTATTAAAAAAACAAAAATCTCTGCTTTCGTGCCAAAATGTTTTGGTTGTATTTTTACATTTTCTGGAAGTAAAATGTGAAAAACAAATTTGTTCAAATAAACTAAAGTTTTTGTTAACTGACTTATCTAAAACCTTTAAAAGGACAAATTTAGTCTCTATTGTCTTCAGTTTCTGTTATTGTAGTTTTGCTTTAAAATGCTTTTTGAAAAAGAAAAAAAATCACATAGTTTGACTCCTTTTATGTTTTTCTTTACAATTCACCATTTCTCATGTAAATTTCCCTAAACTGTCTCTAATGTACAAATAATAAAATGAAAAATAAAGTAAGCCAGTAAAACTTTATTTTCTAATGCTGTTCTTTTAGGTTCTGCAGATACTTCAGGGTTTGCTGATTCTGCAGGGTCTGGTGTTTTTTTGGGTTCTGCTGTTTCGGCAGGTTCTGCAGACCCTGGAGTGGCTTCAGGTTCTGCAGTCTTATCGGGGTCTGTAGGTTCTGCAGGGTCTGTAGGTTCTGCAGGGTCTGGAGCAGTGGATCTTGGTGTCTCTGTGGATCAGGCTCATTCAGCAGGTAAACAATGTTATTTTTAACAGAAACACATGTTTGTGTAACAAATTATTTGATAAAATATTAAAAGTGTTCAAGTTAAATGTCAATTAAAACTCATTTCTGTTTTTTTGTAGCCAAAGACCCATTGGCTTCATCTCACACAGAAATGAGCGGTAAAACATTTTGTCACTCTGTTTATTGTGTCCAGTTTATTAAGAGCCGACTGGTCCATTCACACTGAGCTGCAGTAAAATATCTTCCATTTCAGCCCGGGCTTGATCAAATAACTGCTGTGGGTTTTGTGAGGCTGGGATTCAGCCAAGCAGATAAATTTGAGATGGAAAAAGAAAATTAATTCCAGTTGTGCATTTAATTTTTAGCCTCCAAGTTTGACCTTTTAACAAGTAATAAAATTCTAAATTAAAAATAAACAGCAAAAATAGTAATTTCACAAAAACAAAGACCATTAAGTCTCTTTACTAAATCAATTTGTAGTGCAAATGACAAACTTATTGATATTTTCATGTAAAAAGCTTCTCAGCTGTAAAATATTTTATTTCCGTCTGCAGGCCCTTATGGAGTCCACTCAGAGTCCAATGGTAAATGTTTTTATAATTCTTTTAATAACTGTATTTAAAGCTATTTAATTATACCCCACACATGCAGTGTGTTACACTCAGGGAATATTCTAAGGTCTAAAAAATGGTTGGAAACTTCCCTTTTGTGCAGGAAATGGACAGAAGCTGCTGAACGGAGGAGGAGGCGGAGCTGGAGTGGACAGTCAGACAGGTAAGGGGTGGGGCACAGAGATGATTGATGGATGAGATTAGACCGGAAAAGAGCAGAAAATATGTTTTAATTGAAAATCAAGTTAAATACCGTCATGTTTTGGAAATCTTACTTCAGGTGTGCTGAAGGCAAAAGAGGCAACAAAATCTGTTTTGAACCAGAGGGACTGTAAATAAAATATGAAACTAAAACCAGTATACTCCAATCCAAACCCTGACTTGAACAGTTTCTCTACCTGTGAGCTTACCTGCCTCTCTGTGTCTGTTTTGATTGTCTCTCAGGGGATTTAGGTTCATTAGGAGGTGAAGTTTCTCACCTGGATTATACAGGTAACAGTGGATGTCAACTTTCTTTTATGAAGCAAAATTTGTTTTTGAGGCGTGTTTGGCTCTCCTAAAAATGTGTATTTAATGTTTGCATTTGGGATATTCTTTACATGTCAAACTGGAAAATAAAATATTGCAGTGTAAAAACTTTCTGCAAAAAAAAAAAGACAGAAAAGCAATGCTTGCAAAAAAAATTACAATTGTATAAAATCATAAGAAGGGACACATTTAACCACTTAATCAATTTTTTTTGTCTGCAATTAATGTATAAAATGATAAATGAACAAAACTTCATGTTATTGTATAGTTTGTCAATATAGTATAATATAATGATTTACATTTAATCAAGTTAACTTATTATTGATTTATAAAGCTTCAGTAAAAGGGCTTCATGTAAGACGCACATGACAATTCAATTAGGAGAAATGTTTCATGTGAACTTTAAGTTAACATCTCTTTATATGGTAAAATTAGTTTCGAAAAGAGATGAGTGAACTTGTTAAAAGTTGTTTAATTAAGCTCTTTAAATTTGATTCTAAGTTTATATAAATTTGTAAAAAAAAAAAAACATGTAAACCAGACAAAGCCCAGTTAGTCAACAAATCTTCTAAACCCTTTTTTTACAGTGCAGTTTTACAAACTTGCTGCGGTATCCAGCTCCTCATTCAGCTTTCTTCTAACCCAAACATATGGTTCATGGGCAGAGATAACTTTCTCAGCCATAGTTAAAAACATCCATAAACTTTGACCAAAAATTCCCCAACATTTACCCACAGAGGGGTGGATTTTTGTGATGTGTGATGCACAGTAGGTTTATTTAATCCATTAAAAAGTAAGAATTGTGCAGAACCTTACCTAAAGAAGTTGCTTTAAATAAAATGTTGCATTATTTTATTTGTTTACAGCAAAAGTCTTCTAATGATTTTCATGTCTGCATTAATCTGCAGCTCATTTGTTTCCTTCTTTCAGGAGTCGTAGATCCATCCAGCCATGACTACCTGCACGGCCTTATGGGTAAGTCCTACTTCACAATGACTTTTTTATTTCTTTAGTACTGAACTCCACTGAACTCCCGACAAATAAATAAATAAACAAATAAATAAATAAACCAGACCACCTTTGGTTTGATATTCTTTACTTTCAGAAAAGCAACACATAAGTATTGTATTATAAATATTATTACACAAAAAATGTGCAGAGAAACGTTTCGATTTCTGCTTCATGATGTTTTTGTACATTTTACACATTCAGGTGATAAACTGAGACAAGATGAGCTGCATGAAGGTCCGAGAGAGCAAATTGTGTTGCACAAGAAGAAATATTTAAGATTTTTATGGCAGAACTGGTTTAAATAATTTAAATAAAAGTGTTGATTTTTTTGACTGGGATTTTAAACAAAAAACTGCAGGTTATTTCAAAGCCCTGCTGGAGTTTGATTGATTTGTTAGACTAAACTAATAATGATGGGACAAGAAGTCCTCCAGAGTCTAAGCTGGATGAAGAGCCTGAACGTGACCTGGTTCAGGACTTCTGAGACTCTGGTGGGTTTTAAAGAAAAGTAACAGTTTCAAAACTGAGCTCAAGTAGTAAAAAATGTTCACATTGCCTGGTGATGTCAAAAACTGTGGAGCATTAAAACTCAATAATGTTTCACTTTGTCTTCATCCAAACTTTACTCTTTTAAAAACCTCTGAAGCTCATTAGTTGTTGTTGTCGTCAGGTGGGGGTCTGACGGATCCTTTCAGCGCCGCCGGCCACGTTCCAGGTTTGAGTTCAGATCTGTTTCTGAAGTTCTTTGAAAGGACTGCGTATCAGTGCAGGATGAAGTGATCTTTACAGACGATCGAACTCTGAAAGAAGTTCTGATTCATTTTGTTCTGACAGGTCACATGACCCCACCAACGCACCTGGACCTCTCAGGTATGACTTCTTATTCCTCGAGAAGTTCACGTTGAACTTAGAAAAAAATGATGTTTTACCTCTGAATTGAATTTGAAGAGATCTCACCAGTTGTAGCAGTGATTAGTCCTGTCGCAATAAAACAATAAATGAGTTAATCGTGTGATAAATTAAAATTATCCACCTCATTTTCATTTATCGGCTTTATCGTTTCCTCGTGTCTCTCACTTTCTACTGAAGACACTGGATGATAAAAAGCTCAACTCTGGTGCTCTTCACTGACCCCCTCTGTTTTTCTTTTCTTTTAAATCTGTTTTAACCGTCCAAAATTGTGTTTATGGATCGTTAAAAGCAGCTAAGCCGAGAAGATAAACTACGAGCTAAGCTAACAGGCCGACCTCGAGAAAAAAAAACAACTCGGTTTTGTCGAAGCTCCAAAATTCACCGTTGAAACTCGTGCCTTCGTATAAAAAGTTGGTTTTGTCTGCAAAAAGAAGCTAAGAACTTATTTACTGATTTTTTTATTAAAAGATTTGTGTGACAAATGCTACGCTAAAGAGCTCAAACTACACTGAGCGGCTGCCATTTTGAGAACCGGACAAATGAAGGAGAGACAGCCCATGTCACGTCATGGGGCCTCCCTCCCATTTTTCTTAAAGAGACACGCTGCTCCTTCCCTCACTATCCATCCTTCAGTTCAAACAGTCTTATACTGCCATCCAGTGGTGATAAAAGGTACTACACTTAAATAACCAACATTTTTTTCTTAAATTTGACAATAATTACTAATTATTGTCAAATTTCAAACAATATTATCGTTTATCGCAATAATTTCTGAGACAATTAATCACGCAGTAAAATGAGTTATCGTGACAGGAAGTGATGGGGTGTTTGTGTTTCAGTGGTGGGTTCTGGTGTGACAGCAGCTGCAGAGCAGAACCTTCTGGACTCAGTTGGAGGAACTGCCATCTCCTCCAAAGGTAATAATAACACAACATCTTTAATCTGATTCAGTTCCAGACAAACCATTTGTGTTTTTTAATTATATCTTGATTTCACCCCCCCCCCCTGTTTTCTGCTGCTGAAGACGTCGCTCATCAATCTGCCGGCAGCACCGACCAATCAGGAGCCGGCGGCGCTGCGCTGAGTTCAGGATTCGACCAGTCGCTGTCCAGCTCTTTGTCAGGTTCCTCTGCAGGTGAGTTAAAGGAAAACTTTTACAATCAAACCCCATTAATCTAATTTAACCGCAGCTCTTTCTCAAAGATAAGTAAGAAAGTTTGTTTTTCTTCATCGTGTGCAGTTTCCTCCTCATCCTCAGCAGGCAGTGCGGCTCACAGAGAGCAGACAGGTAAGCTCACCTGCTCAGACTTCCTGCAGTCCTTTACTACATTTACTGCACAAATGTTTTATTTGTCCTCACAGATGGAGCAGATTCACCGGACGCTATCGGTAAAAACAGATGTTTTTTATCTCTCTTCGTTTTCAGTTCAGTTTGCTGCTCAAGTAAAAAAATGAATAATGTTTTAAATTTTTAGGAAATGGTCGACAGACTCTGCTCACAGACAGAGGTAAACATTTATCTCTTTTAAACCGATTTTCACTTTTAGAGCTACTCGTAACATTAAATAACCTCATGTGTTTTACTGTTATATAAAGTTTAACCAACATATTTGAAGGTTTATTGTTGATATATTTTTTTAAATGACACATTCATCACTAACAGTTTAGATTTGCATTTAGCCCCGGTACATAATTTAAAGCTGCACTATCAGATCAGTTTCTTTGATTTAACCCTTGTGTTGTTTGTTTGTTTGTTTGTTTTTGCAGCTGTAACGGAGAGGCTGGTGTCCGTCAGCGATCTTCAGACTCTGCAAACTGACCTCACAGGTACAGCTGCTGGATCATTAATGTTCAGCTGTGGACCGAAGCTTCACCCGGCAGCTGGTGATCTTTGAGTTTTTGTGGCTTCCTTTAGAAATAAAATTTGTTGACTGATTATTTACAGTCTGGACAGTAGTTCCAGCAGGAAAACTACTCTGAGGGCTGAGGTCTTTTCCACAGTTCATACTGAAGGGCTTACAAGAAGCTCTTTTATTTCATTTGTTGTGAAATGTTGTAATGCATAGTCTTATATCGATGATAATGATGATGATGTCATCAGGTGGTACAGAGTCTGTGACCCGTCTTCACCACGACCTCACAGGTGAGATAGACCGACTGATCAATAAAACTGATAAATCAACTGTCTAACTGATGAAACTGACTCTGTGTTCTGATTGGCTCCAGCCACTGCTCTTGAATTTGGCCGTGACGTCACAGGTAGGACTGGTTGCTATAGCAACTCGCTCGTTAATAGAGATTGGGATGATTCACTTTCTGTCAAACGGTTATGCATTACAGAGAGGTCGCCCATCACTGCCAACACAGAATCTGCAGACAGCGTCACGAACACACTGAGCCCAGGTGCACCTGTCTGTCTGACTCACACCTGTCTGTATGACACACCTGTCAGTATGACACACCTGTCTTGTATGACACACCTGTCTTGTATGACACATACCTTTCTGCCTGACGCACACCTGCTTTTTTGATGCATACCTGTCTGTATGACACACCTGTCTGTGTGACACACACCTGTCTGTCTGACACACCTGTCTGTCTGACACACCTGTCTGTCTGACACGCCTGCTATTTGACACACCTGTCAGTCTAGCATACCTTTCTGTCTACAAAACACCTGTCTGTAACACAACTGTCTGTCTGACACACACCAGTCTGACACACATCTGTCTGTGCAATGCACATCTGTATGTCTGACACACACCCATCTGCATGACACACAACTGTCTGTCTGACACGCCTGCTATTTGACACACCTGTCAGTCTAGCATACCTTTCTGTCTACAAAACACCTGTCTGTAACACAACTGTCTGTCTGACACACATCTGTCTGTGTAATGCACATCTGTATGTCTGACACACATCTGTCTGACACACACCAGTCTGACACACATCTGTCTGTGTAATGCACATCTGTATGTCTGACACACACCTATCTGACACACACCTGCTATTTGACACACCTGTTTAACAAATACCTGTCTGTAAAACACCAGTTTGTCTAACACACATCTGTCTGTCTGACACACCTGGGTATATGTCACATCTGTCTAACACTCCATTCTGTCTAACAAACACCTGTCTGTCTGACGCACACATGTCTGTCTGACACACCTGATTCTTTAACACAAATGTCTAACATACGTTTCAGTCTAACACACGCCTGTCTGTCTGACACACATCTGTCTGTCTGACACATATCTGTCTGTCTGACATAATCTTGATGAATGAACGACTGTCTCTTGTTTGTTTGTTTGTTTGTTTGATCAGTTTCAGGTGTTTACTCCAAAACAGACCTGGTTACCATGACAGCAGACTCCACAGGAACAATTCCAGGTAAGGCTTGTCCTCAAACATGGCTGTCAGTAAAATCAGGAGGCAGATGGGAGGTCAAAGGTCAGATAAGTTTTTAAACAGTGTGTGTTTTTAGTTCCAGCAGGTCCAACAGGAACTCCACTTGATTCCAGTAAGTTCTGTTTAATTTCAAAGAAGAAGAGACGTTTCTCTTGTGTTGGTCTTTTTTTTCCTCTGTACTGGAAATATTTGTTTGTCTTGATACACTTATTAAAATGTGCACGTGTGTGTGTGTGTGTGTTCATTTACAGGTCATCCAGCAGTAACAGATAACACACCGATGGCTGGTAAGTTTTACATTTGCACACTGGTTTAGTGAGTGTAAACTGTTTTTTTTAAAAAGGCTAAATTCTTAAAAATCACAACTTCAAACAGTCTGAAATTCTAAAAAGAGTTTGTTGTCTGTAAAATAATGAAATAAATCCAAACACATGCCCTGCTTTGTTTAAAATGGTTTATATAAAATCTTTAAAGCAGTTATCAGACCTAAGTTCTTGTGTTTAAAACTACACAACCAATGAATGTAGAACTTAGTTGAAAACACACCTAAGACAAAGCTGTGGACGATTTTAAAACCAGTTTTAAAACCAGTTTTAAACGCCTCAAATCTGTTTCAAATTAGATGAAATAAAACAAATCTGAGACTAGTCTACAAACATTTTTCAAACAAAATTAAAACCAGTTTTTAAACACTCTGGCTGAATGCAGCCTGAAATGCACCAAATTTAATATCCATATCTAAATGATTGTAGAAGAATAAATAAATTCATTCATTCAACCTTTATTTAGACAGGTTAATCACATTGAGCCTCGAGGACTCATTTACAAGAGAGACCTGATTTCAACAAAGAATGATGACAACAATGGACAATTATAAAAGAGGCATACAGATTTATTTATTTTTACAAATTAAAATAAGATGGCAACAAATTAAAATAAGATGGCAAATTAAGCTACAAGAGTGAAGTTCTTTTAGTTCAGGGCTCAGAACGTTGTGTCTGATCTGAGATCAGTTGCTGAAGGCTTGTTCTTTCTCTTTTCTTGGTTCTGCGTGTCCTCTGCAGGTCCAGTTACTGAACAGTACAACCCATCTGGTCAAGGTCCTGAAGGTCAGTAACACCTCACTCTGACCTCTGCTTTAATCTGAATTTATTTCATTTGTATATTTTTAACCCTCTTCTTCAGCACTTTCATGTTCTAAGTTCTCTGTTAATGGTTTTAAAGCAAACCCGTGTTCTTCTAACTTGCATAAACCAAATGTCCCCAACAGGTCATTTTCTTAGTTTTTTCCAGGAACGCGCTGGTGAACTCGGTAACCTCACCCTTAATGATTCCTAAAGGACTTTATTTAAGAAAATAGAAAAGAAGAAGTTTGGTAACAAAAAAAAAAAAAGAAGCACAGAACAGGTCAAATATTATGAGTAGCCAACAGAAAGGAAAATGGAAATTGAAGCAAAAAAAAAAGAGTTTATTTATTTATTTTTCATTCATTCAACCTTTATTTAGACAGAGAAGTCACATTGAGCCTAGAAGACTCTTTTACAAGTGAGACCTGTTTAGACAGACAATAAGTAATGAAACTGGACACATGTAGGAATTGGAGGCGAAAAAATTCCTATCAGACTCTTTCTTCGTGGCTGAGAAGAAAAATTCTTAATATTAAAAAACACCTCGCACAAACAGCACATAGTGACGTAGACAATCTGCAGAGGGGGGAGACGACGAGAGCAGTGAGCATGTCCATAGACGCTCTCGAGGACGCTGTAAGAGTTCTGATGAGGATGGAATAATCAGCCAGTTCCCTCCGGTGAGATCCGTAAACATTCTCGAGGGAAGTCGGGGAATGGCCAAGGACAACGCCTACGGGAATCCAAGAGTCCTGAAATGATGACACAATGTTTATTCAGGCGGTTTCATCTGGTTGATCAGTTGGAAATTCCTCGATGGGGGGGGGGGGGGGGGGGGGGGGGGCGTCAGATCATATGTTCTCCAGGCGAACTCAAATAAGATGACCTTCAAGGCCAGCCAGGGGAACCAAATTCAGATAAACACAGTTGTTTTGGGGACAGGCAGAACTTAATGACATCTACCTTGAGTCTGTGTTGGTCCAAACGGTTCCGAAATGTCCACATTGAATGGCCACACCGATGGAACGTGCCTGAGTAAAATCCCCGAGATCTGATCCATTCTGCCCAAAGCATCATAAAACTTTACAACAGGGGTGTCTGATCCTGATACTCAAGGGTCTCTATCCTGTGCTTTACTCTTGTTCCCACTCCAACACGCCTGGTCCAGTGGTTGTTACCTCTTCCTGTTCTGCAGAAGCTTGATAATCACCCATTAATTCAAATCAGGTGTGTTGGGAGCAGAGAAACCTCTAACATGCAGGATAATAGCTCTCCAGGACCAGGGTTAGACACCCCTCGTTTACAGTAAAGAGCCAAACTAAAACAAGGTTCAGAATTCATTGTTGAAAAGAAACAAACTGTTTTTGTGTCTCAGCTGCAGAGAACGTGGAACTGGAGGATACCTGCTGACTTCCACAACAAGCCACGAGTGCGATTTTTGAGGTTTCGATTCCAGTGTACCGACCAATCAGAATGGCCCAGGAATTATGACTCCTCCCACTAGCTATAAGCCCCTCCCACAAAATGAGAAACACTCATGGGCATTTCCTTTTGTATTGTAATATTTAAAAATATTAGACGTTTATTTTATTTTAGAGAAATTGCTGGGTCCGCTCCTTTTCCTTTCACTGGCGCCGATATGGTTGCTCCGTAAAATTAACCATGGTTTATTTTTGGGGGGGGGGGGGGTGTTTTGATCACGATAGCCTAAAATGTGTAATAAGATAAAAATACCCATTACCTGTAGTTTAATGCAAAACAAATCTGTTTGCGTAGGTTATGTAGTCCTGGTTTACATAAACACCTCCCACCCATTGCTACAGTAAATACTGTGTAGACCCCACCTGCTTCACATACCACTCTGCGCCAGTGTAGAAATGGTGCGGACCCACTGAGGGGACGTAAATGAGTTTCAGGTGAAATCTCGGCCATCTGGTGATTCTGTTTAAAGACATCATGTGAGATGTGACATCATTTTAATTGTAAATTGTGGTTTTGAACTTCAACAATAAAAGTTTGTCTATTTTGAACATCAAACCTTTGCGTTTTGTCAACACAGATCCTCCAGTTAACCGACAAATTAATTTTTAATCATGGATTTGAAATGATTACACCAACAAAGATGTTTATTTTTATATGTTTTATTGAACCAAATGTTTCGCAATCAAAATACTTTTAAACTTTCTATCCAAAACTGTTGGTTTCTGAGGATCCTCCTCTCCCGGCGTGTAGAAAGCCGAGTCAGGTGAGCTCAGGTAAATTAAATAGATGGCTTATGCTTGAATAATTTATTGGAATTAAATGTATTATTGAACAAAAGTCAATATATAAATCAGAGGTTTTTACATTGCAGAATGCTTTGTTTGTACAGCAGCTGACAAAACCTGTGGATTTCTACCCAATGAAATAACTTTAGGACACCAGGAGTCACCTCACTGTGACAGAAAAGCGTTTTAAAACTTCTAAATGAAAGGTTATCTAAACAAACTACTATACAGAAACATATAGAAGAAATTGGAAATCAGATTCCAATTAAAAAGGCAAAAAACACTTTAAATACTCAGCTACTCTGTAAATCAAAAGCAGTTTTAATTGTGTAAGAACTTTTTTGTCTTTTTGCATGGAATTAAAACATTTTCATGCTTTAGCAGCTGAAGCGGAACATTTCTGCAAACAAAACACTTTTAAAGGAGTAAAATTGCCGTCGATACGTTATCTTCTCTGAAATGTCTCATAAAACTGAAACAAAACACCTGATGTCCTGAAGTGATCCACTGCACAGAAGCTGGTAGTTTTAATAAAACTGTTTATGTGGATAACCGCTGAAAATGCTGACAAGTGAGTGAAGCTCCGTTACATTTCTCTGGCACAGAACTGATCAGAACGCGTTGATCTGACCCGTTGTGACGCTGCGCTCAGAGCACGAGTATCTGCAGCGACCCCCACTTTAACAAATGAAAACTCTACAGCTGCAGTTTCATTTGTCGTTCGGGAGAAACGAGAGATCGGTGCTCAACTTTCAGTAATCTGTGTTTTGGAAGCACTCGGCTGTCCCAGCAGTTACGGGTTTCTCTCGGGTCTCCTGCACCGTCAGAGCCCGGTGGAGGAGATCTTCAAGGGTTGGTGGGTATTTAAGAGGCGGAGTAAAGCATCAGAAAAGATCTGAACGTGGCTGAAGCGAGCAACACCCCTGCTCATATAAAAGCCCAATAACAGCTTGAACAATGCATCCCCATCTGTTTCTATGGTAACAGAGGTATAACAGAATGATAAATGCTTTGTAATAAATTTTCTCCAAAAATACTCAGATTTTCTTCTTTAAATTTTACACATGAAAACAAATACAACCATCAAATCTGACTTCAACATGCAGACAAGACCGGACCGGGGTCACGTGATCCTGATTTTCATCACGTCGTTCGTCCTGTTAACTGTCCTCAGATCTGTTGCTACGGCAACAAACAGACCAGCAGGAAAACAGGTGAACCTGGTTCTGTTCCTTCTTCCTTTTTTTTTAATACAAGCAACAAACAAAAAAAAATTTTTAAACAAGAAATAAAATCTAAAATAAACACGATAAAAGTATAGAAATGAATTAATATTGATCAAAAACACCTGCATGATAAAAACAAGAACTTTGACCTAATGATTGATCTACAAGTGATCAACGTTATCAACTATTGCTGCTGCAGTCAGTGCTCAGTGTCCTGTTGCTATGGTTACCGAGAAGTCACTACATTCTTGAAGACATCAGAGGTCAGAGTCGAGTTGGGTGTGGCTCAGCAGGATGTCGGCTGGGTTGTCTGTGGGCGTGTCGGAGCTGAACAGAGGCTCCGCCTCCAACTCCAGGAGGGATGGCAGGTCAGCCCCGCCCTCCTCAAGGTTGACAGGCTCTGTTATGTGGATAGGAGTGGCTGAGTAATGCACCAACTGCTTTCCTGAAGGAGTGAGAAAAGGCACCGCGTTACCATGACAACAGTAGCCATGAGGTATATGCTCATCTGAATGAAATGCTTACCTGTGTTGCCTTCACTTTCTTTAGGAACTTCTTCAGCCAGCAGCTGACAAAACAGTTTATTATTTAGATAGATGTAAAATTAACCTTTTTAATTAATTTCTTGAGTTTGTCTGCAAAATAACTGATTTTATAATAATGACTGGGGGAAATTAAAGTAGATTTATAATATGAGTGTATATTAAACTCACAGTATCCAAGCTGTCAATGTCAAAGTCTGGAGAGGGACCAGGTGAGCTGAAAAACTAAACAAAAGAAGTTTGTGTTAAGGCAGCCATGCTAATACGAGTTGGTTAAAACATTAATATATGAATCACAGCTGGACTCACCTCCATGAGAGGAGATGGGTCAAAGGTGAAGGTCTGCGAGTTCAGAATGGTCTGTAGGTTTTCCAAGCCGTTGTCAATACTGTCGACATGATCAACGAGATCGGACCTGAAAGGAAGACAGAAGGATGTCAGCTGATATAAAAAGTCTGGTGTTATTCGACATTTTTTAATCATGTCAACATGAACCCAAACCAACAGTGTGTCTAAAGAGTCAAATTGTCTTTCAGGATATCTCCGGTCTCTGGCTCTCAGTGTTTCCACATTTTGTTTATCTCTTATCATAAATGTCTCCTGAAGGAGGTTAATCTTGGAAATACACCACAAACTAGACGTATGAGCAGGTACAGTGGTGGCGCAGCAGGACGTTAAATCGGAAAAGAAAAAGCAGCTGATGAACTAGATACGTTTTATTTCATTCAAAAATATTTTTAAAACAGTGGCTCAGTGTATTTCTCAGGTTAAATAGTGAAGTGGTATCGTCAGCAGCAGATGAAGCCATGTATTGACAAGGTTTTGGAAAGATGTGCAGTACAGTAGTCCCTCGCTACTTCGCGGTTTGTTTTTCGCAGGTTCGCTCTATCGCGGCGGTTTTTCAAAGTAAGGTTGGACAGGAAACAACTGGCAGATTGGTGGATGAGCCACACGATTGGCATGGGATTTTTATTTCAAATAAATTATTTTGCACGTGCTGCGTGCAGCCCACAGCTTGCAGGAGAAGCTTCCTCCTGCAGCGTGTCATATCTCCACTCTGCAGCGGAGAAGTGGGCGTGGCCAAGAGTGCTGGCAGAGAGCAGCCGGAGGCAGAGAGAGCTGAGATCATGACATTCTGTGCTCTTACAGCTTTTAGAAACATTGTTTAGAATATTGCAAATATGAGGTTTAAAAACATATAAATACTAAGTACTACTCACTACTACTATTCCTACTTCACGGTTTTTCACTTATCGCAGGGCTTCAGGGTATGGATCCCACGCGATAAACGAAGGACTACTGTCATTGTCAGTAAAATATACACACTACTGGTCTGGTATTTATTCATATGACGAGAACCAAAAAATGTAGAACAACACTAAAGGTATGAATAGAATTGTATCCTAAAGGTTTATAATCATCAGAAGACTTTACATAAAAGCAGACTGAAGCCATCATGATGGAACTCGCGCGACTGTGGACGAAAATTTTAAAGCAACAGGTTGAAAGTCACTTTATGTTTTTGTGCAAAACGATGTGGATGAATATCAGTAAAAACCTGCTGACACTAGGAACGAGCGTTGTAAATTAGAATTCTTGTTCCAAATATGATACTCGGACTGGAAACCCTTTTCTTCTTCTTCTTGGTCGTCTTTTTATAAAGCACCAATGAACACGAAAGATTGAAAAAACGCACGCCCATCAGGTAGGAGGTGAATGATTTGATTTAAAACTGTTTTTATAACCAGAAGAGTCCCCTCGCCCTGATGACCAGCAGAAAGAACAAACGCTTAAAGAGGTGATTTCATTTTCAAGACCAAGAGGCTGAGTCTATCTTTTATATACAGTCTAAGATAATTATTTAAAGATTCACTTGTCAGGTTGTTTGGATACGATGCGCCAAGCGTCAGGTGGGAGTCCACCTGCAGAGGAAGGAGGGTGGAACCTAGGAAAGCACAAGGATTTAATAAAACATGTGACCTTTAACAGAACTATTATTTGATAATAGATATACAAGTACTGACCCTAGGAATGTTTAATTAAATAGTGCTTAGTGGGACATAAAGAAATAATTGAAGGCAGCCTCTGTAAGTGGAGTAAGTGCCGTGCAACAAGAACTTATTTGAGTGTTTTAGGGGAGCAGCTGGCGTGTTTAGTTGTTGCAGAAGCTGCAAGAGTTCCTCAGAGTGCAGGTACAGCTGCCAGGTGTTAGTGCTCAGACAGTTAAAGGTATTTAACGGTGGCCATTTGTTAAGAACAGTCCAGGAGCAGTCGTTAGGTTGTTGAAGAGCAGAAGCAGGCGGCCACCAGCACATCCTGCTGCCACCGTGACCCCACACTTACCTGTCGAGACACACAACAGCTTGACATTTCTTTCGAGGTGTGGCAGGGCTGGGTGGAGCGGCAGAGTTTAGGTTGGTGACAGGGGCTGATGTCTGGAGGGTTGGAGGTGATGGAGGGGGCTCACTGGAGGTGGGGCTCAACACAATAATGGGACTGTCTACAGAAAAGACAGACTATGGTTAAGCTGAGATTAAATATTGTTTTATCAATCGATCAGTTGATGAATCACAACATATCTACCTGCTTGGGCGGTGTTGGTGGTTGTGGAAATGACCTGGGTCGGCTGTGTCTCGTTGTCCTGAAGGATGGAGTTGATGAAGGCAGTCGGGGACAGAGGGGTGTCTACATTTGTAACGAGCGAGTCCTGTTCACCCTCGAGAACAGGAGACACCTCCACCTCAGGGCTGGACGGCTCCTCTTTGATGTAAGCTAACTGGCTCTCTCTGCAGGTACGTCAGAAAGTCTTAAGATACTTTAGACTGTGCGATCTTTGAACAATCAAAGCTGAATGATCTGATAAGTCCTCACCCTAAGTCAGTCCAGTCAGTGGCTGCATCGTCTGGGGTGGAAGCAGCAATCTCTGTGATGTCAGAAATGATCGGCCCAGAATTCATGGGGGAGTCGGGTGAGAGGAGACTCGCTGGGGTCTGAGGAGACAACACAGAGGTTAACCACCAATCAGTGATCACAATAACCAACACAACGATTAACTGAAATAAAAATCCACAGATAACGAAACACCCGTACAGAGGACTAGTCTGTATTTCAATAAGATGCCAATCTGCTGAGCAGTAACTCAACCCAGAGCGATGATGGTCTGTTATTTAAATGATCATTTCTACTTACTGTTCTATTGATTTACCTAGAATGTGACACAATGGATCCTACTCATCTGAACTCATTTGAATCTGCTAAGAGCTGATTTAGAGAAAAGTAAGAGGATTGATTTTACCTCTAATGAGAAGGTCCGGCTGTACTTGGGCATGGAGTGGGTGGAGCTGGAGTCATTGAGCATCAGAGGACTACACGCAGAGACAAAAAAATTATTAAATACAATAAACACTGGTATAAAATACTTTTAGATTTACTTTTAAACTAGTATTTCACTAACTTTTCACGTATTTTAATTATAATACAATTTGAATAATAATTTGAATTATTTAGATAATTAGCTGAAAAACAACTCATGATGTTTGAGAAGATGATACTTAAATATAAACTGGTGATAAAGATTTAATGGACTTTAAATGAAATTAAAAAGTGTGTGGAATTTGTTGTATTAAACTTACATCTTTCGCTTGACTCCTATAAGTCTGTTGGTCTGAACAAGAGACACCAGGAACTGGATCAACTGCAAGACGAGAGTTTATAATTAGTTCAGTTAACAGCCGCGGTGACGAGCCAGCATTGTGCTGACGGACTGCGTGCTGGAAGACGAGCAGACAGCAGAACCCCTCGCTGACAACAGCCAGCTCGGGTCGGTATTTTTAAAGCTGCGGGGGACATTTTATGAGGACGCTTTATTTAGACTGGAGCTTTACATTCAACAGCTATAAATATTCACAGATTAGTTTGTCTTACTTCACGAGCAGAAGCAGATTCTCATGCACCACTCCTTTATGCACATAAATGTTTAGGCAGTTCTTTTTTTTTTAGTACATAATTAAAGTAATTGTAACCAGCAACATCAGATTTATTTTCCATCAAGTTGTTGTGTGATGAATTCTTACCCTCAGGTAAGTCATCGTGTACGCACAAAACGCTCGTGTAACAATTAGGCACCATTATTAGGATCCTGATGTATTAACAGCATTTTCCACCTCCTGACACTCACTTTTTTTACCTTTTTATTACAAACCTCAGAGGAATGACTATCAAATATAATTTTATGGCTTGCCTCCACCTCCACACTAGTATAAATCTACTAGTTCTACTTAACAATCAGGACATTTTGTTTTGTTTTGCCTGACTCGATGCCTTTGCCATTTGGGCACAGGAAAGAAACCTGCAGTGCATTTATACTAATTTGCATATTTATTTATGAGAGACGACAGGAAGGTCCAAGCGACTGCTCTATTCTACGTGAACTTTTAGTATGACAGCTGCACACTTTCATGCATGAGGCTCCAGGTGTGTGCCACTTCTGTTGTGTTCCACTTCATTTAGTCTGATCCGTGTAAATATTTGTGTACCTTGTTGACGACTTTCTGTTGCTGCACATGTTTTTGTCTCAGACTGGCCACCTCCCTCCATAAAGCTTCATTCTCACTGAAACAGATAGAAACAAGGTTAATGTTTATTATAATTATTTTGTATTAGCATGTACATTATGAAGTAATCTGAAAAAAAAAAAAAAAGATTAACCAGTGACAAGATCTGTAAATTAGGTTGAAGTCTCACATTACATTTGGTACTTAATGTTTTCATGCGTCATCCTTATCAAATAGACCTAAATTAAACAGAATTAAAGGATATAACACCAGATTATATTCAAAAAGAAAGCATGCACACAAAACCGATTCAAACAAGAATCTCAATAAACTGCTGCTGATAATACCAGTAGAATAAAAAAGATTGTTTATGTGAGTGACGGGCACATGCAAGTTGTGAGTTTGCAGGGAATTACAAAGATGTTCACTTAATAGCTTCTGAGTATGAAAATACATCCAGCATGAATTATTTTGTCCTTTGTGAGATAATTATGTTTTTAAAACACGTTCACAGAGAACCCTTCGAGAGTCTTCCTCCTAGTTCTTACTGTTTCATGGTGAGGATCCTGGAGTCGATGGTTTCCTGTTTTCCCTTCATTATCTGGACATCGTTTAGGATTTTGTTGACTTCATCTGTAGAAATTTTTACTTCTTCTTGACGGACTGACGACACCTACACGAGTCATGTGAGACAAAGACTATTACCATGGAGACAAGAACAAAGTGACAGAAAGGTAACCAGGGACAAACATATTTTCTCGTTCTTTTACTATTTTCAATGCCTTCCCCTGCTGATGAGCACCGTATCAAGTTAATCTGATTATTAGCACCACATGGCTGCATCTTGCCTTCTTCATTATCATGGGTAAATTATGGGTGTAGTTTGTATTTTGCTTAGTTTTTGTTAAATAAATGATGATACAGTCAAATACGGCAGCTGTTACTGTTTGTCAGAGGCTGTATTTACAAAACTGTAAGATATGATAAAGACAAGAATATTTTTTTAAATTATATCCAGATACTAAAAACTTATACAGAGAGATGCTTGTAGTTTGTTTTTTGAAAAATTTTTTGTATCAGACAAAAGTAGTAAGTATTGACATGTGTTGTGGTGCCGTCAGGTGTCATTTCATGTACGTACATTAGTGACTTTTCGTTTGATGTTCTCCAGCAGGTGTTCTTGTCCTCTGATGAAGAACGGGTGCTGGAACTCTGTGTCGTCTTTCTCTGGTTTCACCAAACCGCCCTGCTCGATGTGCACCACCTTACGGAAACCATCTGAACACAAATACAGACAATCAGCACCATCAGTGAGCTTCTGCATTTAATAAACAAACATCTGTTTTGTTCTGAATATTTCAAACTTAATTATCATAAGTGATCAGTGTGTTAGAATTAATATCAATCTGATCCTTTCATTAGCAATAATTACTACTGGTACTTACACATGTTGAGCTGTCGGATGAAGCTCGCCATGTTGTTGTGCTTGAAGAACTTTGGTAGAACCTCTTTAGCAAACCGACCCTGATCAAAAACATGGAAGCTGGTTCCACTCTGACACCAAAACACAAACAAGTCAGAATTAACAAAAGCTTTAATTATGGGGAAAAAAATAAGATAAAAATACATCCACAAATAACTGGCCCTTAAGCTTAACTAAAATCTGACCAAATATCAAGTTTACTGATATTATCGTGTAGCTCGTTCTATGCCAGGAAAACTTTTTTTTTTGGCTTAATATATGTGTATAGTTCATTGCATAACTACTCTTCTTTAATTTAGTTTTGTTTTCATGTCACTTAAACAGGCTGCAAATACTGTCAGTGGTCGTTGACTCCAGCATGATTTGTTGGCAACGGCATCAACTTCATAACCGCTCAGATCTGTGATTACCTGCATTGTCAACTCAGAGACATAAGAGCAGGGGATCTACTTCAACTCACCACCACCGACATTTCACCCAACACTGATGCTAGTGAAAAGGCATCTTGTGAGATTTTATGTGAAAAGGTGCTCGTAAAGCTCAAAAAACCCAACCAAATGAAGCAATTGCCCTTTGATCAAAAACAAAGTAAATTTAACATGTAACAATGTTTTATTCAGTTTTGCTAAATCACAGTTGAGCTTTAGAAACAGCTGCTTGCAGTTTTCAGAAATGGTGTCATCTATGATAGACCTATGTACACCAAGAATCAAATGATGAGATCTGTCAGGTCCTAGTGTCGCTTACATCCCAGTTTATCAACCTTGTTTTGTTGCGATCACCTGCAATCAGCTTCAGTACGAACTTGTACCAGTACGTTGTTACAATACAGATGAAATAAATGTAGATTTTATCAAATATAAACTATAAAAAAGTATTGAAACTCTTTTGCGTTACTTTTATCTTAATAGCTGTTGGCTCTATAGATTGTTTTCACATCATCAAACCAGCTGTCTGCCGCACTGGACACACAAAGTCACAAAGAAATGAGCTTTTGACTCATCTGTTGAATTCTTTTTATTTTAAATGAACAAATTTAAATATTTAAGATGGAAAACTTCTGCAGAAGTTGCTCAAATTGATCTGAACACAACAGATTTACGAACAACCAAAATACTTTTTAAATCAACCAGAAGAATCTCAGAAGCCATTGGAAGGGAAATGTTTGTGGTCAAGCTACATCAAAACTTGAAGGGTGCTCACATCATCCCAGACAAATATTTGTTCCCAAATTAGGTTTGTTGAGACCTCATCACCTGTAGAATAAATGTCGTGATGCATGCTCAATAATCCAGGTAGATAAATCTAACACGGTTGAGTCAGGTCATCTGGACGGACTCAACCTTGTTAGACCTGAAGAATAAAGTTGATCTGCTGCTGGCACAGCAGTCATGAGTTGACTTCTGATACAAGGAATCTAAAAAATAAGTCATATCAATAACAGCACAACACTTTCCTTTTGCGGTTTTACCTGCAACTGCTACACAAACTGGGGTTTTATGTTACGTGTCAAACAATCGTTTAGTTTAACCCTGTGCATAGCTTTAAATGAAACTTTATGGTAAAGTAACTGTGAGGGCTTTTAAGTTCAATTTAAGTTACACAAGCATTGTTTTTTTCTTGAAATAAATGCTCATGAGTGCATTTCTGAGTAATCTACACATAAAAAAGTGAGAATTTCTTCTGCTTCATCAAAGTTTTCCACGGTCACAGCATCACACTGATATGATGGGCACATAAACCTATGACGTTATATCCAATTAATTGCAGGGTTATTTGTTTGTTTGTTTGTTTTTGGTACAGCTTCTTCTTTTTCTCAAGAAGTCTCGTTACATTCTAGCAGGTGTGACGCATGTATTATGGTCAGTTTTGCCAAGAACATCAAATTTCAAAATGTTGGCTAAAGTGACAGAAAACTGAAATCTGCTGTAGGACAACAAGTTTCACTAAAGACTAATCTCAGAGCAACTAGAAGTCTGGCTTTAGTTTAACGAGCATTACCAGCTGTTTCACAACAGCCGTGCAAATAAGGAACTCTCCGAGGACCTGATGGTGGAATCCAGATCTCATTATCTAGGGATCATCGGCTAGCCTGTTGGCTACGTCTGACTTTTTAACTGCTGACAAACAAACCTGCCTGAGTTAATCTACAATAATGCCACAGTAACAACCAGACATAATGTAAAACTGATGTTTTTAGTCTAACTGAATAAAGTTCCAACTGTATTGGCGACTGAAATAACTCTCTAAAGTGGTCAGCGTGTTGTTAGCACTTAGCATAGCTAGGCTAGGCTAAAATAAGGTTAGGCGAGTACCGGGCTCCAGAAGATAAGTGGGTCGGTTTCTGGGTCCTCCACCAGGGTCCACAGTTTAGTTAGGAAGGCCGGGACGTTCCCGCCGCTCACCACCACTCCTCCAATTCCTCCTCCGAGAAACTCCATTTTTAACGACGACAAACAAAGCGCACACTGGACTCGCTGTCGATGCTAACAGTTAGCCAGCCGTTAACCCCATCCGCTCCTAAAACACCAACACACGAACGGACACACCGCGACTCTGTGGCCGACTAAGGTTCGAGCGGCATCTCGGAAAGTTCCCTCTGGGTCCTTGATTTCGTTAATCTCTACTAATCCACAAATTGATGCTCAAACTTTAGTCTGAACAAACCCCGTAGTGGAAAATTCCAACAAATCCGATAAAACAAACAACTGCGTAGCAGCTGGTTGAATGGCTGTCGCTCCGTAACGTAAAGTGATTGTTTCTGTCGCGCTGTGACGTAAACCACCGTATTCTGGATTATTTTTAGTTTGACCAAAATAGCCCACAAATTAAAACCATACACTATACAATTGGACGTGTATTTAAAGAAACGTGATCTTTTTTTGGAACATGTTGAAAATCCACTAAATTCTGCCATTCGGAGGGTTCAATTTCAGGTTTTACTGTAGCACCACATAAAGTGCCCTCTTTCTCATACTGTACTTGTTTACATTTATTTATTATTACTAAACTGCTAAGCATGTTTTGTTATTTTGTAATGTCATGGTGTTTTTAAGGAAAGGGCACAATAGTTTTATGAGAAATAACTCTGAAGAAGTTTTTATTTATTAACTTCTTTGTTAGCCAAATCAGTAAATTATTTAATAGAAAACCCAACATATATTATAATAAATATAGCATAATATTCAGATGACTGCAGTCGTCGGGTGTATCACAGATGGACAAGAAGCTGAGTACAGGAAACTGGTGGGCCACTTTGTGGCATGGTGTGGAAACAATCATCTCATCTTGAATGTGAACAAAACAAAGGAGATGATTGTAGATTTCAGGAGAAACAGGAGCAGGTCCAACCCTATTTCCATCATGGGAGAAGAAGTGGAGGTGGTGGAGAACTACCTTGGGGTTCACCTGGACAACAGACTGGACTGGAAATGAAGTGAACCCGTCTACAAGAAGGGACCAAGCAGACTGTACTTCTTGAGGAAGCTGAAGTCCTTCAGTGTTTGCAGAAAGATGCTGCGTATCTCTTCTGCCATCATCTGCTGGGGCAGCAGCACCAGAGCAAGTGATTTAAAAAAAGATCAACAAGCTTATAAAGAAGGCTGGCTCAGTTCTGTGGACTCTAGAACCTTTGGAGATGATTGTACAAAGAAGGATTCTTCATAAAATGAAGAACGTTATAGGCAACCCTCAGCATCCTCTTCATCAGACTGTCATACAACAACAGTGTGTCTTCAGTCAGAGGATTCTTCAGATCCGCTGTAGGACAGACCTCTACAAGAGATCCTTCCTGCCCACAGACATCAGCATCTAGAACAACTCTAATGAAACCAGGATGATGAGTTACAACATTTAATTTCCCTCTGGGATTAATAAAGTATTTTTGAATTTGAATATAGACTCAGCTCAAAACTTAAATGAATGGGTTCACATGGTTTTATGCCTTTGTCTTCAATTAAAAAAAATAGCATTTAGCTTCTCATTCATCAGGTTTTGCATGAGTGTGAAGAAAAACAAATATAGTTTGAATGACTACAGACCACGACTTCTTGAATGTGAGAAGGATCAACCCGGCTTGAAGAGTCAAAGTGCGTAGAGTTATCCGCAAGACTAAAATCCTGATTTTATTTCTGGGATTACACAAATTCAATTGATACGTGAAATGCATAAAACACTGAACATGTATATGCACTACACACAAACACTAAACCATCTCATAGATGTTTTACTCATTTTAAAATGTCAAAACTCTTTAGAATTTAGATCATAAAAGTGGATCTCCTGGTCTTTATTCCTGCTTTTATTATTCATATAGACAGGAGGATGCAATGAAAATTTTGAAACAGTTCAGTTTTGTTTTTCTATCAATCAGGGTACTTTTTTCCCAGAAAGTTTACTTTGAACTACTGATTATTTAAAAATATAAAATAAATGTGTACATTAAATTGGATAAAAATTGGCATTTACAATAATTCACACACGTGGACAGTATTTGTGTATTGTATCTCCTTTCTCAGCCAGTAGGAGGCAACAAAGAGTTGCACGTTTTACAGTCACGTGCATAAACATATTTGGCCCCTCCCTCTGTTTTTTTCTTCATTCAGCCAGCAGGGGGCGCTCGCAGCAATCTCGTCTCGCATGTCCCTGTGACGTGTAACCTCTGACTCCGCAAGTTTCCCACAGATATTTTTTTATTTTATTTTATTTACAAACAAACCAAGGCAAACAGTGTAATTCAAAGTAACAGTTAGGTTTCACAGGTTGAGTTATATATTGAAATTTTTAAAATTATACAGAAAATTTACATAAGGAATAAGTAAAGAGGTTTACATCAAATCAAAGTTGTTAATCAAAGTATAAAGTTGTTGAGCGGATTTACTTTTAACCAAATTAAGAGAAGCACAAAAACATTTCAGGCAACTTTCCCAATGACATAATCCCTGGGATTTGAGAGAGTGAAAATGGGTATTGTGGGATCGCTGTGCAACGATTGCAGCAATTTAAAGAACAAGTGACAATAATTAAATAATGAAAACGTCATATAGCCACATCGAGTATTATAGTAAATATTTAATATGAGTATAGGTATATTAGAGGTCTAGTTTATAGTATAGGTCTAGTATTAGAGGTGTATGTTTAATAATATAGTATGGGTCTAGTATTCAGTTAAATTAAATTCAGTTTATTTATGTAATGCCAAGTCACAATAGCAGTCATCTCAGGGCACTGAACAGAAACATTCATATACATAAAAAAGTTAATTAACACTTTTTATGTTTTATAGTGTGGGCTTAACATTATAGTATATGTCTAGTATTAGATGTGTAATTGTATAGTGTAGGTCTAGTATTATAGGTTTAATATTATAGCATAATAAGTGCTATGTGTTGTCGTCATTGTATGTTCTCATACAATGACGAAATTGGCTCTACATTTAACCCATAACACCTGGGTTACACCCAGGTGGAGCAGTGGGACAGCTATGTAGGCGCCCGGAGAGCAATTAGGGATTGGGTGTCTTGCTCAAAGACACCAAAACATGTGGGAATGGCTGGGAGTCGAGCCGCAACTTTCTGGTCCCAGGTCGGCTGCCCTACCTCTATACCCATCTCAGTCCCCACTATAGGTCTAGGATTAGAGGCCTAGTAATATAATATGGTCTAGTATTAGAGGCCTAGTAATATGGTCTAGTATTAGAGGCCTAGTAATATAATATGGTCTAGTGTTAGAGGCCTAGTAATATAATATGGTTTAGTATTAGAGGCCTAGTAATATAATATGGTTTAGTATTAGAGGCCTAGTAATATAATATGGTCTAGTGTTAGAGGCCTAGTAATATAATATGGTCTAGTGTTAGAGGCCTAGTAATATAATATGGTTTAGTATTAGAGGCCTAGTAATATAATATGGTCTAGTATTAGAGGCCTAGTAATATGGTCTAGTATTAGAGGCCTAGTAATATAATATGGTCTAGTGTTAGAGGCCTAGTAATATAATATGGTTTAGTATTAGAGGTGTAGTATTTTAGTGTAGGTCTAGTATTATAGTATAGGTTTAATATTATAGTATGGGTCCAGTATTATAATATAGGTCATGTGCTAAATATGTTGATGTGATTTGCTGCAATTTTATATCAAATTTGCCCGCCTACAGATAATTTTGGCTATTTAATTTTACAAAAGATACAGGTATGGACTACTTTAAATAGTTACTGATCAAGTGTTAAATGACCCCTCCCTCAGCTTGTATGTTTACTCTATACTAGTCACTGCAAGCACATATTGGCAATAGTTATGATCGGTAGTAACCCTATTTACTCCACACTAATTACTTTTTTATTTCAACAAGTGATGCTGAAAACTTGAACACAGCTATGCATTTGTTTACAGTTTATTTATTAACAATATACACCATGCAGAAAGTTATAAAAATGCATTTACCACCATTTTAACAAAAATATTAGTATATTAGCCATTTAATATTTATGGCAAACATGACGTGCAGCCAAGAAAGATGTCTTGACAAGCTCTTGCCAAGTGTGTCCTTTCTCGGATTAGAAATAGATACATCCTAACCAACAAAACTCTAAGCGGCGCAACAATCCAATTTTCGAATTTTGACAACCTCTCCATCAGTGACGTCACTGTTGGGCGACTTCCAACAAACCCACAAACCATTGCGCGCCGTATTCAGTAGGCGGTGCTAAACAAAGATGGCGGTATCCACGAAGCGTCTCATGGAGGGGAGCAAAAAAAGCGTGCAGGTTATCGAAAAGAGAGCAGGGATGGAGAAGAAAAAGACAACAGTCAAGAAGAGGAGTTTACAGGAGGAGGAGGATCAGGTGAGGCACTTAATAGCCGGGATGAAGATGAGATAACTGAATGGGATGAACTGGTCACGAGCTGGCTGTTAGCTTAGCATGAAAAGTCAAAGCAAAACAGCGTGGAGTATTTCAACCCCCATATAAGCTGACACTAACATTTTCTAATAGTTATTGTTGACGAAAATGATTTAACTGTGCACCTAATTAGACTTTACAATCTAATGAACACAGGGTTTATTAAAATTGTTTGACGCTAAACTTGTTTTAGTTGAAATTGTCACTTTCTGAATGGAGACATTCCCGGTGTCAAGTCAGTTTTCCTGGATTAAAGAGGCAAATTATATCGGGTAGTCAGATACAATCACATTTTATTTATTTTATTTTATTTATCCACTGTACACAGCTACTGACACACTGCACATAGCTGCTTCATCTTGCTGAGACCCTCACACTAATTTTATAAACCTAAAATCAATTATCTTCGTAATTGCACCGAGACACATTTTGGTTTGATTGTTTCCTTTTCAGATAAATTCACAACCATCTTAATTCAGTGATTTGGATTCAATGCAGTCTGCTGGCTTCCTTTGATAGTTAACTTTACTAATGGCTTTATAAAAATGTATGTGAATGTTTTCAGTGCCCTGAGACATCTTCTGTTGTGACTTGGTGCTATAGAAATAAACCGAAATTAATTTATATTTTTATTGTTTTGTCTTTAATTTCTTATCAATTTATTTTTCCAAAATTGCATATCATCAGTTCCCCACAACTGCTATCCTATCAGCTTTCACCCAATCCTTTAATGTTTTCATTAAAATTCACTGCAGCTGGCAGGCACTGGTTTTATAGAATAACATCAGCTAATCTCTCTTAATTGTTTGATTATACATTGGGACTATTGTTAAATTAATTAGTTTTTTGAGTGTGACACTTCTGTCTTTCCTTCAGCTCATCAACTTCAGCAAGGAACCTGTTAATGAGGACGATGCCGATCTATCAGACAGTGAGGACAGTGTCTACTCTGGACTGGAGGATTCTGGGAGTGACTCAGAAGAGGAGGAGGAGGAATCAGATGAGGAGGAGGGATCAGATGATGATGATGCAGATGAAGATAATGAGGAGGATGAGAGTCAACAGGTAACATTTAACTTGGGTTATCTGTGTAACGGCTGATTAGCTGGTGAGACTCACGTTCGGCCTGTGGACTCACCCATGCTGTCCTCTTCAGACAGAGGTAAAGAAGAGTAAGGAAAAAGAAGAGGAGAGTGAAGAAAAGGAAGTAAAGAGAGCAGACGAGTATCAACATGACAGCTCAGATGAGGAGGTGGGATTTTATAAATTTCTATGTTCCCTTTGCTTCTGTTGTTTTTCATGTGTAGTTCAGTCATTTAATGATCAACATGTCTTCTGTCAAGTTTTCTGATGTTTAACTCTTTTCTCACAATCTACCTCATTATTCCTCATACATGTTCTTTTTTCTCCCTTCTTTGTCAAAGTCACAGAACACAGTTCAAACTCATGCAATGAATCACTGTCAACTTGTTAGTCCACTGATCTTCTGTTCAGACACTTGAGATTAGCTCATGCATGTTTAATTAACACTGCCCTTTAGCAATAATAAGAACTCCACATTATCTATAGACTATTGAGTACTCATCCCTCACAAGGTTTCTGTAAGTTGTCACTAAATACAAAAGGCCTATGCAGGAATGATTCAATACAGCTACATGTCTCTTCTCCTGCTGGTTCATAACAAACTCCAATGTTCTACAGGACATCAGAAACACAGTGGGCAACATTCCCATGGAGTGGTACAAAGACTTCCCTCACATTGGCTACGATCTGGATGGGAAAAAGATCTTTAAGCCAATTAGGAACAAGGATGAGCTTGATGAGTTCTTGGACAAAATGGAGAATCCTGATTACTGGTGAGCCGTCTAGCTTCATGCAATATACTTGACAGTTTCAAACAAGAAATGCTAACGGTACTGACATGGATTTGTCTGCAGGAGAACGGTCCACGACAAGAAGACAGCAAGTGACATCGTGCTGTCAGACGACCAGATCGAGCTGGTGAATCGTCTGCAGAGAGGACAGTTTGGGGATGTCAACTTCAATGAGTATGAGGTACAGTTACCCCCGAACTTGTCCTGTTCAAACACATACGTGCTTGTCTTAATTGTTGAGGGGGAAACCAGTTAAAACAGTCAAATTACCTCTTTTTTTGTTTTGTCAGCCCACTGTGGAGTTCTTCAGTAAAGATGTCATGATTCATCCAGTCACAAACAGACCTGCAGACAAACGCAGCTTCATCCCATCATTGATTGAAAAGCAGAAGGTAAAAACCACAAAATCGCTGCAGTGGTTTTATTTTGTAACCTGACTCTGCCTGTCTGTCTCTACCTGTCTGACTCTGTCTGTCTCACCTGCCCACAGGTGTCCAAACTAGTGCATGCTATCAAAATGGGTTGGATTAAACCTCGACGGGTAGAGGATGACAGCAGAGGGCATTATTACGACCTGTGGGCTAGTGAGGACACTTCTATTTTAGCCAGGCACAAAATGCACCTTCCAGCCCCTAAAACCCGTCTGCCTGGTCACGAGGAGTCCTACAACCCCCCACCTGAGTACCTGTTCACAGAAGAGGAGGTCTGTCGTCACTTGCTGCATTTATTTAACAATGAAATTAGAGCTGACATCTGTTTTCATGCCTGTCGTCTCATCTTCCCTTTTACAGCAAGCTCTGTGGGATCAGCAGGATCCGTTGGACAGGAAGCTGCCTTTCATTCCCAAGAAGTTCTCCAGTCTTCGTCAGGTTCCAGCGTTTTCTCGGTTTATCCACGAGAGGTTTGAGCGCTGCCTTGATCTTTACCTGTGTCCCCGACAGAGGAAGATGAGGGTAACCACAACTTATTCAGTCTTTTATCCACCAGGGGGAGCTATATTTTAGCCCTGTGACGCCACTGACTCTTTCTCTGTCTGCAGGTGAACGTGAATCCTGAAGATCTGATTCCAAAACTTCCCAAACCAAAAGACCTGCAGCCTTTCCCGACAACTCAGTCTCTGGTAAAAACACACCACCTTTAAACACTGAGTAAACAGATTATTTCAAACTTGAATTGTTTTAGTTGCGCTCATGATTACCTGTGTGTTCAGGTGTATCGAGGTCACAGTAGTCTGGTTCGGTCCATCAGTGCGTCTCCTTCAGGACAGTGGCTTGCTTCAGGTATCGTCATGTATTCAACTGAACATTTATCCACACAGTTTCTGATTTTTTTTTATTTTTTCCCAATTAAAATTTTATAATGGAAGCAGACAGTATTTTGACATGTGCTTGCTCTTACTGACTCAAACCAAGTACTAAAAATTAGGGATGCATGATATTGGATTTTTGGCCGATAGGTTAAAACTTATTTGGCCGATAACCAATATCAATATTTTTCCCCATAGATCTACTTACAGAGACTACACAGCTTTCTCTGCTGTGGAATTAAAATACATTAATCTGCATGATCTTTGTCAACTTGGTCTGCTACCAAATGTAGATGCCAAAAAAGGGGCTGAAAATGATGTAAACTATATAAATATATAATATAATATATATATATATAAAACAAACAGTGCCTTTTATACCAGTGAGTTATTTTGATGTAGTGGCCGATGTCCTATATTTAACTTTATCGCTAATATCGGCCGATACCGTGCCGATAATATCGTGCATCCCTACTAAAAATGAAATTAACAATTTATTGAAAAAGCGCCGAGTTCAAATCTTGTCTCTAAATACAAAAATGTCAGCTTACTCCTACAGTTTGTCTCAATAAGATGTTTGTTCAGTTACAATAATGAACAAAACACTGCCTAAAATTATTGTTGTTACAATAAAAAGTTATTGGGTTTGTCGGTTGTTGACTGAACCGAGATGCCGCTCTCAGATAATTTATCACCAGAGCGATCAGGTTTGTCGAGCAAAGACAACTGGAGGAAAACACTTGTCAGCTCTGGAGTGTCTTCTTAAACACGTCAAGATCTAATTATAATATATTATAATATACTATAGGGGAAAGGAAGAAAAATGATCTAATTATAACAAAGAGCTTTGGAAAACAAATTCCATTAAAGGCACAGCACTCCATGAAAAGAATCCGTCTCGTCCACCACAGTTTTAAACTAAGAATATCTTGTGTGGAGAAATGACGGCAGACGTCATTTTAGTCGAGCCTTGACTGTTCTTTGCAGTTTAATGCAATATTGTGAAATGTCACGCTGAGAGAACGTGCTGTGAATGACTTTCAGCTACTAACTCATCAAATTCTTGTTCAATATCTGTAAATCTGATGCAGTTTAAAACTGTGTTCATGTCTCCACCCTGTAGTACCCACCCATGTCTATACACCTTATGAGTTTCATCTAAACCCGTCCAGTAGTTCAGGACATTTTGCTAATGCTATAGACAAACACTTATGCACACACACATCAAAAGCTAAAAGCATTTGACTTCTGCATTTTCATGTTCAGGCGTGGTAGCTCAGTGGTCAGTGCTGAGTGCTGCAGTCTTGTTGCAGGTTTGAGCCCAGGTTGTGTCAGGAAACTTCAAAACAATTCCACAGTTATTCATATAAATTTGCTCACTGTGGTGACCCCGGGAGCAGCCGAAAAGAAAAACATAAGCTTTTATATTTATGTAGTACATACCCCATAGGTCTATGTGTTAGTAAAATATTGGGTATGGAGATGAGTTCAGAAACTTCTGGTAAGCCCAGAAAATATTCAATAAATAGTAAGGCAGATTTTGGTTTATCTTGAATTGATAACATTTTTTAAAAACTTCAGTCTTATGAGTGCAGCTGATATGAGTGTAGTTTTTAGGAGCATTGTTAAAACGGGTGTTCTGTATATTTTCTTCTCTTCCAGGCAGTGATGATGGCACCGTCAGGTTGTGGGAGGTGTGCACATCTCGCTGTTTGAAAACGGTCCAGGTGGGCGGAGCTGTGAAGAGCGTGGCGTGGAACCCCAACTCGTCTTTCTGTCTCCTGGCTGTTGCCGTGTAATTATCTGCTTGCTTCTCTTTTTGTTCACGTTATCTCAAAGCCTCGTTAAACCATCTGTTAAATTTAAATACCACGGCCAGGTCCAGGCTAATTCCTTCTCGACATCCTGTTTTTGGTTTTCAGGAACTCGGAGGTCCTGATTTTGTCTCCTGGTCTGGCAGACAGACAGGTCATCTCATCGTCAGAGCGACTTCTCGCTGCTGAACACGAGGAGGAGCCATCAGAGGCGTCGGGCACTGTCGTCTGGTCTAACACTGAGGGGGAGGAGCTAAATCACGGCATTCGTCTCAAAATCCAACATCCTAAAGTGAGAAAATCCACCCAAGATGTTGATTAAGTCTTTCTGATCCATCTCTGGACTACACTGACTCTTTGTGTCCTCAGGCTGTCCACCAGGTGACGTGGCATACTAAAGGAGACTACCTGGCGACGGTGATGCCTGACCACTCGAGCCACCTGCAGGTGTTCATTCACCAGGTGAGCCGAAGGCGGAGCCAGAATCCTTTCAGGAGGAACAAAGGGCTTGTCCAGTGTGTAGCCTTCCACCCTATCAGGCCCTACTTTTTTGTGGCCACCCAGCGTTCTGTCAGGATCTACAACCTGGTCAAACAGGAAATGACCAAAAAACTACAAGCCAACTCCAAGTGGATCTCTAGCATAGCCATCCACTCTGGGGGTGAGTACTTCCACAAAACAATCACATCTCCACAGCACCAGTTCCTGCTCCAAACAAATATTTTAAACAATCGTGACTGCTGAGGGGCAGAGCCGGTGTCTCACCTGTCTACCTGCCTGCAGGTGATCATGTGATCTGTGGGAGCTACGACTGCAGGCTGAGCTGGTTCGACCTCGACCTCTCAACGAAACCCTACAAGTTGCTGCGGTACGTTCTGTCAACGTTTGTCAAAAGGATCGTTAACAACGATCAGATTTACTCGTTGCGTCACTGTTTTCACACTGTTAAGTTTCTGAAAACGTTCAGCTCATTCTGGAGAGGACTCCCATGACTTTTGTAGCTTTTTACCTTTTCATGATATTTTACGTTGAGCTACATGATGGATTAGCACTGTTGCAGCAAGAAGGTCCTGAGTTTGATCCTAGGTTTGGACCTGTGGTCTTTCTGTGTGGAGTTTGTATGTTCTCCTCGTGTTTGCGTGAGTTTTCTCCGGTACTCCGGTTTCCTCCATACCGGTCTAAAAACATGCAAGTTAGGCTGCCTTAAGGCCTCCCTTGCAAAAGAGATCTGATCTTGCACGGTTAAATAAAAGTTAATACAAAAAATATAGTTCCTACAGGTTTTTCAAAATTATTTTCCACTGAGGTCTATATATAAATAAGTAAAAATACCTCAGTGTATTTATATATAGACCTCAGTGTATATATAAATACACCAAGGTCTTTTTACTTATTTAAAACATTGCACTATTTAAAATCTGCTTCAGCATTCTTGCTCATTTTTTGTCTTCTTGGGCTACTTTTATTTACAATTCTGCTATTTTTAGCTTTTATCTAGCCTTTTGCTACTTGTACCACAGCTTTTAATTAGCATTTTCCTACATTTAGCTACAAGTTTGCTATTTTTATTTAGCCTTTAGGTAGTTTTTCCTTTTAGCAAGCTTTTGATGTATTTATCTATCTATTTATGTTAGCTTTTAGCTCATTTGCTGCTCCTTTTTGTTTTTAGCAAGTCTTTTGCTACTTTTATTTGTCCTTTTGCTAAATTTACTTTTAACTAGACCTTTTCTACTTTTAGCTAACAGTCTGCTACTTTTAGGTTTTATCTAGCCTTATGATAATTTTAGCCAATATTGCTACTTTTGGCTAGTGATTGGCCTTTTTTTACTTTAACAACTCAGTTTCAGCTTTTTCATCAAATGTCAGCAGTCATTTAGCACTCTACATTTTTGTTGTAATGTATATAATGTATGTTTTAATTTCTCTAGTTACTTATTTTTTAATTTAACCTTTATTTTACCAGGATAAAAAAACCCATTGAGATTAAAACCCCTTTTTTTCAAGGGAGACCTGGTTTAGAGGCAGCAACAAACACAACACAAAAAATTACAGTTAAAAGAAAATTTCAAGCTATAAAAAACAGGTACTATAAAACAAGCTAGCTATTAAAACGGGTACATTTCATTGAGTTGGCTTCAATATCTTTTAGTTTGGATGTAAAAGCACTGAATGAGATGAATTCAGTCCGAGTAAAAGGAACGTAAAGAAGCAGCAAATTGTGTGAGTGAAAAGTATAGTAATGTTTTGTTCATATTGATGATATTGATCTTTTAAAATAACTTCAGACACCATAAGAAGGCGGTGAGGAGTGTGGCCTATCACAGAGGTTACCCACTGTTTGCCTCGGCATCAGATGATGGATCAGTGATCGTCTGTCACGGGACTGTTTACAAGTAATACAACATACAATAAACACTCATCGTTACATAGGTCTTTTTTGAACAAAGGCTCAAACTTTTCTTCTCCTCTCCAGCGACCTGCTGCAGAACCCGTTGATAGTCCCTGTAAAAGTTCTGAGAGGTCATGCAATCACTCATGACCTTGGTGTTCTGGATGTGACCTTTCACCCCACACAGCCCTGGGTCTTCTCCTCCGGGGCTGACGCCACCGTCCGACTCTTCACCTAACGAGCTGCTCTTTATGTTGCTGCCTGCTGGTGAAGCAGCTGAACTTCTCCGTTTGTGGTGGAGGTGTCAAACCATGGGTGTCCTAACAACCAGTTAGACACCGGGTTGTTATTTTCCACAACAGAGAGAATGTCCTTTCCTCTAGTTTATTTTACTGTTTGTATTCAATAAAATGGGACATTACTATTCATGTGTGCTCTTTGTTTATAAATCTTCTATTAAAAAACA